TTTGGATGGATGAGTGGATACTTTTGGCAAGATAGTGTATCAGAATTATTACATAAACTGTTTGAAGTGTGATCAAAAACATTCAAAAGCTTTACTCGATTCATATTTGCCTGATCTCATATTCAGGTTCACGCTCTGGTACAACTCTGGCCTGTTTTAGATCTTTCATTTGAAGTCCTACAGTGTGTGGAAACAGCAATCCTTCTACCTGCAGGTTTTATTTCATAGCCAAAAAGTTCCTGTGTTTTCGTTCTGCTCTGAATCGGCATGACAGCATCGTGGTTCAGATCCTCGGGCACCTCAGGACGTTACAGCTCTTAAAACCACCGTAGTCATTAAAGAAACAACGAGCACACTTTCGGTCTCACTCCTGCCTTCAGGAAACTGGAAATTTGATCGGTCACAGCCAAACATGCAGCTCTTATCAGTACCGGTGATCTTTCGCTCTCAGTTTGAAACAGACGCTTCTGAACGTGTCTGAGATTCACGGTGAAATCACAGCGCAAGCGCTCGGAGCTGGACTTCCTCTAGGGATCTAATAAAGTCCGAGAGGACGACGCTGCATGTGCAAACAGCCAAATCTAATCTAACTGGGCCTTTTGATTTTCACTGGCCTGTTCTTTAAGGTTTTTAAACACACTTGATCGCACGCAAGCGTCTCTGTTTTATAATCGAAGAACATTTCAAGACTAGAGCCTGGAACATGTCCGAGCTCTCATTTTTAGCCTAAACAAGTGTTTTTAAAATATTTTGTGCTCAAAAACAAAGCTGACGTTTAAAGACACGCCTGTAATCAGATACGCCGTCTGGCATGTTGTCAGTCCTTTTGACTGTATCGTCTTGTGGGTTCGGGCTTTGCAGGAAGCTCCATCACATCAGTTATATCAGGCTTCCTGAAGTGTCTGTTTGGCTTGTTTTGCACCACATTAACCAAATTCCCCAGCAGATGATGCACTCAGTCACAGAGCTGCTGACAATTGCTTTTCTTTCTTTTTTACACTTTTGTTGAGGTGCTGCATCCTGCTCGTGGGTAGCTGTGATTTCCTCCACATATTAAAGTGGTTCATTTCTTCTACTCATAAATTCAGTTATCCTTTTCATCTCATTTCTATCAGAGAATTTCTGTTGCTACAGGTTAAGGACTTCAATATATAACAGAATAATAGGCAATAATAATAGTAAACTAAAGAAAATACAATATACTTTTGTCTAGATTCTCTTAATAATGCACGGTTGACACTATTTGGGAACGGTGGCCTGGAGAACTCAAGGCAGTCGTGTTTTTGTGCGTTTGTTTTCATACTCTGTGCGTCCCTGTAGTCCGGGGCGTCCTCTGGCAGCCTGTGGAGGTAATCTTTGAGCAGCAGCTCATAGCGAGGAATCCTCTGAACCGGCTCCAGCATGTGGTGCTGCAGAGTCAGGTTCCCACAGCGCTCCTCCCTCTGCACAGAAACATCAAGCACAACAATGTGTGATGATCTTAAACTAATGAGCCAGAACAGGACGCCCTGAGCAGCCTGGAGGCTGCAGACCTCTGAAGGTCTCTGTGGTATCTGGTGCAGAGCTGTCAGCAGCAGATCATTTATGTCCTGTAAAGATTTGGATGATGTACCTGTATCTCCTGGATGATGGTCTTGAACTGAGTCGATCTCTCCATCCAGATGTTCACCAGCTCCATGGCTCGGTCAAAGTTCTTCACGTACTCGCCGTACATCTTCAGGAAGGGGGCCAGCTTCTGTAAGATGTCACCGATCCGCGGGTTTAAGTCCCTGTGGGGACAAAGAGGGAGGGAGTGAGAGGAGCTCCTGAGGAGGAGCAGGAGAAGAGGAAGAGGAGGCTCACCACTCCTCCATGCGTTTCTGCAGCGCCGGCAGCAGGAACTGCTGGTGGAAACAGTAGATGGAGCAGATGTTGGAGAAGATCCCCAGAACGACATCACAGGGGAAGGAGGAGCGAGACCGAGCCTCCTCCAGGAGTCTGGCGCAGAAAACCTGTGGGAGGAGATGGCTTCAGTCGGGCTGATATTTCTCACAACAGGAAAAAGTTCACACCCGCCAAGCCTGCAGTGGGAATACTGTGGGGTTTCCACGGCAACGGTGACAGCTCAGTGATGTGAAAGTCGGCTAACAGACAAACTGATTCTACCAGGAGGAGACTGACAGCTAGGTGAGCTCGCAGTCTAAGCCTAGTGTGGCGGGCAGCTCCTCTTCCTATTGGCTCACAGGCTGAGGAGACCCCTCTCGACTCACCTGGTCCAGCAGGTGGAGCTTTGAGACGTAGGCAGTCTCTGTGTGCAGCAGCTCATTGGCGATGTTGAAGACCCTCTGCTGGACAGACATCTGGACACGGAGACAGTTAAACGAGTGAGTGCACGGTAAATATTTTCCTGGAGGCTGGACAGAGACCCGAGTTCAAGTCAGAGAGAGTTTTCATTCATTCGCATTATTGTTATTATCATTATTATAACACTATATAGCTAGGTTTAGGACATAGATATAATAATGATGTTGAATTATTATGGATGGCATCATACAATAATGACGGTAGCATTACTATGACTGTAATGCTCTAAATACTACTCAACGACCTTCAAACTTATAAACTACTTAGGGCAGCAGTCTCCAACCTTTTTTGCGCTACGGACCGGTTTATGCCCGACAATATTTTCACGGACCGGCCTTTAAGGTGTTGCGGATAAATACAACAAAATAAAACTAGTACCGGTACCGAAAAATTATTTTTTTTATTCATAACACACGTGAAAAGACCCAGGAAAACCGAGTTAACGATAAAAATGATAACAAAATAACGCTGAAAACCGATAAAAACCCTGAAAACTATACATTTCACACCTGAGCCTCAACTCTCGCGGCCCGGTACCAAACGATTCACTGACCGGTACCGGTCCGAGGCCCGGCGGTTGGGGACCGCTGACTTAGGGTACCAAGATTCATACATTCAAATATTTACTTCAAATAAAAGTAGTTTCTTTTTTCTGTGTATTTGCATATAGAAACAGTGTGACTGCCTTTGATTTCCATTCAGTTGTAAACACCCCAAATCATTTTTAACATATTTAGCACTAATTCAGCCACTTATGATTTATAGATCACTGCTTACCAATAACAATTCAATTCAGCTTTAAATCACAACAACAGTCACCTCAAGGTGCTTAATAGTGTAATGTAAGGGAACCTACAGTATTACAGAGAAACTCAACAATCAACAAAGACGACCCCCTATGAGCAGCACTTTGGCGACAGTGGGAAGGAAAAACTCCCTTTTAACAGGAAGAAACCTCCAGCAGAACCAGGCTCAGGGAGGGGCGGGGCCATCTGCTGCAACCGGCTGGGGGTTGTTGTGGTAACAGAAAACACAGATATAATAATAGTTACCATAAATATTTGGTGATGAGCCGAACCACATACAGGACATTGTTGTCATTACGTCTGTTCTTATGTTAAACCTTCCTATTGCACTTGTAATGGTTCACACCGTTAGTAATTAAATTAAATTTGTTCTCGTAGTTAAATATATTCTCAACTGTAACTAAACTAATGCAGGTTTGGCAAAAACCACCCATTGGTGGGTTTTTAGTAGCGTAAGTAAGTGAGATCATAACCAGAATTGAAAGCATTAGAAATACTTATTCTAATAATATAATTTATTATGTTATATTTTCCCGTGTTTTTATATGTATTATATTAATACTTATATTATATTTATTATTTTTATATTTTGATCCTGTACTATTACTTTAATAAAGAGTCTAAATACAGATATTCAACACAAACCGGTGTTTGAAGCCTGCAGCTGCGCCGATCATGTAAAACATCTGTATGAGGACGCGGGCCTGCACATGGACCTGAAACATAGCCCCATGTTTTCCAGATCAATCTCCTCTGTGTATTTATTGACCCCCGCCGACCTTTTTAAACTCCCACATGTTGTCCAAGATTCCTATTGGTGGAACAGTTATTTCCATGAAACGTGAAAGCGTCTGTTCTAAAATCTTTTCGTGACCGTTTTCAGTTTCATCCAAAACGGAATTACAGATGTGTAACGGCTCACGAACATCAGCCTGAGGAAACCACCTGAATCCTCACCTCAGCAGAGTCCTGTCGGTCTGTCTTGGGAGGGGCCAGCACCAGAGTTAGCTCCGCCTCCTCTTCCTCCAGGTCGCTGTCTCCCTCCTCTGAAAACTCCCTCCTCCGCCTCGCACCTGCCCTCGGCTCCCCCTCTTCCCCTTCCCCCTCACCTCCCTCCCCAGCATATGAGGATGAGCTGGAGAGTCTGGGCAAAAGGGCGGGGCTGCACTGATAGGCCACGCCCCCATCATCCACACCCGCGAAGCAGAGCTCCTCGCTGTGCGATGGAGAGCTGATGCTGTCGATGCCGCTGTCTCGATTGGCCAGCTTGCCGTCCGTCTGCGAGGAGGGGAGGGACAGACGCTCGGAGGGCAACTCTGATTGGTCGAGCAGCACCGGCTGCAGCTGCTGCTCCCTCATTTCCACGGCAACCACATCATCCTCTACATGTTTCTCTGAGGGGCTGTAACCCGACTCCATGGACAGACGCTTGTGATGGTGATCGTCCCGGCAAGCAGCCGCCAGCTCTTCATCATCATCGTCTTCATCGTCATCACCGTCATCGCCGTCATCGCCATCATCGCCATTATTGTCATCTTCCTCATCAGGTAGATCACCCACTCCCCCCTCATCCTCACCCTCAGGCCCACCCTCATCCCCCTGTGTGATGTCGTCGTGGCTCGTGAGCTCACAGGACGGCTCCTCTTCAGGGAGGGGCGGGGCCAGTGATGATGATGGTGGTGATGAAGGTCGGGAGGATGAGAGAGAGGAGGGGGGGTCGGAGAGGCGGGGACACAGCGCCCCACCGGTGATGTCAGGAACCACAATGATCTGTTCCCTGTAAACAAACAAACAATAAACAAACAGAAAAGACTCATATAATGACATCACTCCTCCTTAACCAATCAGAACTCACCGCTCAAACTTCTCGATGAGTGACAGGACACAGGTGGGGGAGGCGGTGCCGTCTGCACGAATTGGTGGAGGTCGTCCTGCCCGAGGGTCCGCTGGGAGGGGTTTGCAGGGGGGTGTAGGTGGGAGGGGCTTTTCAGGTGCTCGGGGGCGTGGCCTGGAAACCCCTGTTTGCTGCTGGAGGTGGGGGGGTTTCGGTGGCACTGTGGAAGGCGGAGTTACAGGTGAGTGATGACCTCATGGATGTGTTAAAAAAAAAAAAAGTGAATCAAATTCTTACCCTGAGGTTTAGGTCCCGGCAGCGGCGGCCTGCTCTTGCTCGGTGGTGTAATTGTGGTAGCTGGCAGCTCCGGCGGCCCCGTGTCGTTCACCAGCAGGAGCCCATTCGCAGAGCCACGGCGTTCTGCTAGCTCTGCCCCTCCCTCCAAGGAGGCGGGACCTGATGTGGAAGAGGTCGGCCCCGGGTCAGAGCTCGGCTGCTGCGAAGAGTCGGCATCCAGCGCCCCCAGGTGGCCGCACGGTGAGCAGGACGGCTCCAGAGAGAGGCTCTTAGTCAGCAAGCTGGGACTGGAGGAGGAGGAGGGACCTGAGGAGGGGACAGGTAAAAATATATAAGGTTGTATATAAGGTTGTGTTAGGTTAGCTAAAAATGTTTGTAAAAAAGGGATTTTGGTTAAGCTTTCTGTCTGCAGATCCTGAAGCTTCATCAAACTCGCGGCAGGTTTCCTCTAAATCAGGAGAGATTTTCTCTGCTGCTCTTTGTTTTCAGAAGCTTTTACTTCAGCTGTCCTTCACACACTAACAGCCTTCGTATTCAATCAAAGCCGAAAAACTTTCTTTATTAGATTTGTTAACTTCCAAAGAAGCGAGGAGACGGGACTGACTCAGCCGAATGTGTTTCACTTATTTTGCTTTCACTTCCTTTTTCTGGCTTTGATGTTCCACCACTGTGTCTTTGAACCTTTGACTTTCAGTATTTTAAATGTGGTTTATATTTTTCATAGTATTGTTAGCTCTTGTTTTATAGATCCACATTCCTCAGACGGGGTGTTTTTATTGACTTTTTATATTGTTTTTTTATTCCATTAATTATTCCATAAAGAAAAGAACTGGACCGCACTCTTTATAATTTGTGAAATAGGGCACTGGC